CTGCAGTGGTCGGTGTAGACGGTTGTTCTTCGTCCTTCGAGATAGCATCTCCACGCTTTGAAGGCGATGATGATAGCCAAGGCCTCCTTGTCGTGTATCGGGTAGTTTAGTTCTGCCCCGTGCAGTTTCTTGCTGAGGTAGGCAATTGGTTGCAGTCCATTCCCCTGGTCTTGCATTAAGACTTCTCCCACTGCCTGGTCGCTGGCGTCAACTTCGATTACGTAGTCGCGTTCGGGATCTGGCAAGATGAGCACCGGTGCGGACGTTAGTGCTTGTTTCAGCTGCTCCACGGCTTCCTGGTGCTTCGTCTCCCATTTGTAGGGCGTGTTCTTCTTCAGCAGATTCGTGAGTGGTGCCGCGAGTTTCGCATATTGTGGCACGAACCTGTTGTAGTAATTAGCGAAGCCTAGGAACTGCTGCAACTCCTTCACGTTCTCGGGTGTCTTCCACGTGCGTACGGCTTCGATTTTCTTGGGGTCGACGTGAACTCCTTGAGCGCTCACCATGTGTCCTAGAAATTGGACTTTCTCCAGGGCGAATTCGCTCTTGGACAGTTTGACGTAGAATCGTTCTCGTCGAAGAATTTCGAAGACGCGTCGCAGGTGTTCGACGTGCTGCTTCATGTCGCGCGAGTAGATGAGTATGTCGTCCAGGTACACCACCACGCATTCGTCCAGAAGTGGGCGTAGAATGTGGTTCATTTCGGCTTGGAACGTTGCCGGCGCGTTTGGTGAGTCCGAACGGCATGACCAAATACTCGTACGATCCGTACCGAGTTCGGAAAAGCAGTTTTGTGGATAGAGTTGTCCGCCATCCGTATCTGCCAGTATCCGGACCGCCGATCCAGTTTGGAAAATACCGTAGCTCCCCGAAGCTGGTCAAGCAGGTCATCGATTCGCGGTATCGGATATTTATTCTTGATGGTCTGCTTGTTAAGAGCTCGGTAGTCGATGCACATGCGCAGGCTTCCGTCCGGTTTCGGTGTGAAGAGTACTGGGGCACCGTACGGCGAAGTGGATGGCCGGATGAGTCCTTTGGCTAGGAGATACTCGATCTGTTTTTTCATGTCAGTCAGCTCTGTAGGGCTGAGCCGATATGGTGCTCGGAAGGTCGGTTTCGAACCCGGTTCCTCCACAATCTCGTGTTGATGCGTTCGGTATGGCGGTAGCTCGTTCGGAAGATCGTCAGGAAGAATGTCTTGGAACTCCTTCAGTAATTCCTTGATTTTTTCTGGAGTTTCCGAGGCTTTCTCTCCGTCATTCTCCACCTCTGTTGCTATCGCCAGGAACCCGGTGTCGGTCCGCTTCACATCCTTCTCGAATCGTGCGAGTGTCTCCGTTGGGATATCTCCAGTATCGTCCCAGTTGGGTAGCTGTACTCTCCGTCCATTGTTGTAGATGCTTGCGGTGCGGTTCACCCAGTTGATCTCGGGGTTGAATTTTTTCAGGAAGTCTCGCCCGAAGATCAAGTCAAGCCCTTTGATGTTGGTGATGGGGAGTGCAGGTCTCCAGCGCAGTGGTCCGATTTGTAGGTGTAGCACTGCTTCGCCGTGTACAGGTGTGAGAGTACGACCCCGTTACTATTTTCCCCTTTCCATATTTCCTTTCTATTTCATTCCTCTTTTTATCCTCATTCATTTGGTCTTTATCTCATCTTATTTGGTTTCCTATTCCTCATTTTCCATTATCCTTTGGTTTATCCTGTTATTATAGTTATATCACCGACCAGGCTCGGGATGTACTGGCGCGCTATATCTAGCGTAATCCTGCCGTAATCCCTTAAAGCCAATAGCCTCGCGTGGCTATACGCAGGGTGATTCTATTTCTAGAAGGGTCTATTCCCTTAGGATAAGATAAACCTGGTTACCTGATGTACTCTGGAAGTATAAAAGCGCCTTGTACTGATTGATAGGGCAACATTGAGCAAACCTTTCCTCGGGACATTCGATCCTGTGACAACTGGTAACTTGCTGCCGTCCACCATCGTTGCAGAGAATCCTGAAGGCTTGTACTCTTCCCGAAGTCGGTCGATCATTGCCTTGTCGCAGACGGTGTGTGACGCTCCGCTGTCCACGAGTGCTTGGAGGCGTCGTCCTTTGCAGATGACCTCGAGCACGAGGGGCAGTCGTTGCTCGGAGTACCCAAAGATAGTTTCATTGATTGGGTCATAGGGTACATCCCAATATTCCGTACACACCTTTGTTTTGCTGTCTACTCCTGAGCTGGCAGCTGGCCGAGGCTGCTTGGAGAATGGCTCTTCTCCAGGGCCCGGAGTTTCTTTGACGACTGTGCGCGTCATTGATGCCGAAGAACTGGATGCATCCGTAGGAGGAGTTCGGGGTTTGTGCAGCTTCTTGTAGACCCCCAGCTTCCTCTTGAGCTGCTTCAGCTCCACCGACGTCTTCCCTGGGGAGCGGGTAGTCGTTGTGGGCTGGTGTCGGGAGAGGACGTTGACTCCGTGGAAAGGTCGGCTTCTTTCCACACTCCTTAATTTGGTCCCTAGGTTGTCCGGTACCGGTATAATCTCCACAGCTGTCTGCTTCTTTTGGAGTCCCTCCCGAAATTTCTCCAAGGCTCTAGCCCCTCGAACATCATAAGTTTTCATTAAAGCATCTTTATAAGATAACTTTAACGAATTCTTATAATTTCTTGGGTCTTCAAGGAGTTTCCCTGTCTCGGCAGAGTCTTTTTTCGCGGAGTCGTATTTTTCCTCGGCGATTTTCCCTGGCGAAGACTGATCGTGGGGTGGAGATTTTCCCCCATCATTTCCTCCTTCTCGCGTCGAATCAGCTTCGTCGAAGTTGATTTTCCCGGAATCCCGCGGCCGTTTTCGGATCTTTACTTTTTCGCCAGCTAGATCCGCAATCACTGGCGACTCCCGTTTTTTGTCTTCTGATTGGCCGAAAGATTTCCGCCACTGTTGCGTGCCCGATACTCTGCGCGTGCGGCCTTCATTTTGTTGCAGTCGAAAATTCGGTGGCCCGGCACCCCGCAAAAATCACACGTGTAGTTGGTGTTTTTCGGACGTGGCCGCCCCTCGAATCTGTCGACTTCCATCGGGTCGGCGAACGTGGGGTGAGCCGAGCGGTCGCCCTGTCGCGTACTGCCGACGTGCGTCCGTCGTGCTCCGGCGTTGACCATGTCGAAGCGCTCCGCTGCCGAAATGACGTCACTGTAGCTCGCGTAGTTTGACGCTGCGACTTGTCGTTTGACTTCGGTCTTCAGCCCGGCGAGGTACGATTGTACTTTTTCCCCTTCGGTCAGATCGGGAATGCGGTTATAAAATTCCTCCATCTGCTGCGTGTACTGCGCTACACTCCCGAACTGTCGGTGTCGATGAATTTTTTCCCGGGCAAGGAAACTGGAATATATCGGTTCGAAGCGTTTCAGCAGGTCGGCGCGGAACTGCTGCCACGTGGCTTCACCGTGGATGAAAGTACTGTTGCCGCCAATCCACTCGAGTGCCGGCCCTCGCATTAGTGTCGCCGCGAGTCGTACACGTTGACCGTCCCAGACTGGCGAGCTCCATCCGACGGCTGCGAAGTAGATCTCCATCCCGGCGATCCATCTGCGGGCGTCGGAGTTTCGATCGCTCGGATCGAACGGTTCAGGTGGGCGCGGTTTCGGAGCCTTGAGAAACTGCTGCGACTGCTGCGTCGTCGCCGTTGTCGTCTCGTGCTGCGCTCCGGCGAGTCGAGTTACTCGCTCGAACTGGTTTCGCCACGCTTCGCGATACGCTCGCATTTCCTCCTGAAGGGCTGCGATGCGCGCGAAGAGCTGCTGGGTAACCTCGGCGGTGTCGAAGGTTGCCATCCTGTTCAAAACACGCACGGAGGGGGTAATTCGAAAATCGCGGAGCTGGTGCTTACCAGAATCGGCGTCGAATTGGTCGCCCCCGGCGGTTTTTCGAGGCAGGATCCCCGCTGCTGCTGCTTAGCTGAGCGCGGTCGAGTGAGAAAAGCTCTGATTACCAAGTGTCACAGGATCGAATGTGTCGAGGAAAGGTCGCACTATCGATCAGTACAAGGCGCTTTTATACTTCCAGAGTACATCAGGTAACCAGGTTTATCTTATCCTAAGGGAATAGACCCTTCTAGAAGATAGAATCACCCTGCGTATAGCCACGCGAGGCTATTGGCTTTAAGGGATTACAGCAGGATTACGCTAGATAGAGCGCACCAATACATCCCAAGCCTGGTCGGTGATATACTTATAATAGCAGGATAAACCAAAGGTTAATGGGAAAGGAAGAATAGGAAACCAAATGAGATGCGGTAAAAAGAGGAATGAAAAGGGAAGGAAATAAGAAAAGGGACAAGTGGTGTAACGGGATCGTACTCTCACAGCCCCGTAGCGCCTCCTAGCGCCCCTCCTGGGCCGCGTCGTGCCTCCTAGCCTCCTAGCGCCCCTCCAGGGCCCCGTCGCGCCTCCTAGCCCCGCCGCGCCCCTCCTGGGTCCCGTCGTGCCTCCTAGCCCCGTCGTGCCCCTCCTGGGCCCCGTCGTGCCTCTTAGGCCCCGTCGCGCCCGCTACGGCCCCGTCGCGCCCTGCCGCGCCCCGTCGCGCCCTTTAGGCCCTGTCGCGTTCCTCCTGGGCCCCGTCGTGCCTCCTAGCCCCGTCGCGCCCCTCCTGGGCCCCGTCGCGCCTCCTAGCCCCGTCGCACCCGCTAGGCCCCGTCGCGCCCCTCCTGGGCCCCTTCGCGACCCCCAGCCCCGTCGCGCCCCTCCTGGGCCCCGTCGTGCCTCCTAGCCCCGTCGCGCCCCTCCTGGGCCCCGTCGCACCTCCTAGCCCCGTCGCGCCCCTCCTGGGCCCCGTCGTTCCTCCTAGCCCCGTCGCGCCCCTCCTGGGCCCCGTCGCGCCTCCTAGCCCCCCCTGGGCCCCGTCGCGCCTCCTAGTGCCCCTCCTGGGCCCCATATCGCCTCCTAGCCCCGTCGTGCCCCTCCAGGGCCCCGTCGCGCCTCCTAGCCCCGCCGCGCCCCTCCTGGGCCCCGTCGTGCCTCCTAGCCCCATCGCGCCCCTCCTGGGCCCCGTTGTGCCTCCTAGGCCCCGTCGCGCCCTCTACGGCCCCATCGCGCCCTGCCGCGCCCCGTCGCGCCCGCTAGGCCCCGTCGCGTTCCTCCTGGGCCCCGTCGTGCCTCCTAGCCCCGTCGCGCCCCTCCTGGGCCCCGTCGCGCCTCCTAGCCCCGTCGCGCCCGCTAGGCCCCGTCGCGCCCCTCCTGGGCCCCTTCGCGACCCCCAGCCCTGTCGCGCCCCTCCTGGGCCCCGTCGTGCCTCCTAGCCCCGTCGCGCCCCTCCTTGGCCCCGTCGCACCTCCTAGCCCCGTCGCGCCCCTCCTGGGCCCCGTCGTGCCTCCTAGCCCCGTTGCGCCCCTCCTGGGCCCCGTCGCGGGTCCTAGCACCCCCCCTGAGCCCCGTCGCGCCTCCTAGCGCCCCTCCTGGGCCCCGTCGCGCCTCCTAGCCCCGTCGCGCCCCTCTTGGGCCCCGTTGTGCCTCCTAGCCCCGTCGCGCCCCTTCTAGGCCCCGTCGCGCCTCCTAGCCCCCACCGTGGGCCCCGTCGCACCTCCTAGCGCCCCTCCTGGGCCCCGTCGCGCCTCCTAGCCCCGTCGCGCCCCTCCAGGGCCCCGTCGCGCCTCCTAGCCCCGCCGCACCCCTCCTGGGCCCCGTCGTGCCTCCTTGCCCCGTCGCGCCCCTCCCGGACCCCGTCGTGCCTCCTAGGCCCCGTCGCGCCCACTACGGCCCCGTCGCGCCCTGCCGCGCCCCGTCGCGCCCGCTAGGCCCCGTTGTGCGCTGCCTGGCCCTGTCGCGCCTGCCTGGCCCCTCCGCGCCTGCCTGGCCCCTCCGCGCCTGCCTGGCCCTGCCGCGCCTGCCTGGCCCCGCCGCGCCTGCCTGGCCCTGCTGCTCCTGCCTGGCCCCGCCGCGCCTGCCTGGCCCCGCCGCGCCTGGCTGGCCCCACCGCGCCTGTCTGGCCCCGCCGCACCTGCTTGGCCCCGCCGCACCTGCATGGCCCCTCCGGGCCTGCCTGGCCCCGCCGCGCCTGCCTGGCCCCGCCGCGCCTCCCTGGCCCTACCGCGCCTGCCTGGCCCCGCCGCGCCTGCCAAGCCCCACCTCGCCTGCCTGGCCTCGCCGCGCCTGCCTGGCCCCACCGCGCCTGCCTTGCCCCGCCGCACCTGCCTGGCCCCTCCGGGCCTGCCTGGCCCCGCCGCGCCTCCCTGGCCCCGCCGAGCCTGCCTGGCCCCGCCGCGCCTGCCTGGCCACGCCGCGCCTGCCTGGCCCCTCCGCGCTTGCCTGGCCCTGCCGCGTCTGCCTGGCCTCTCCCACTGCCCGCCCAGCCACTCTTCGTGCATGCTCGACCTGCCGTGCCACCTCGGGCCCCGTCTACCCTGCTCGCCAGTGCTGGGGCGCCTCGCGGCTGCCGTGCTGGAGAGTGCTACCGCCGTGTCCCTGCGTCGCTGTGTTCCTGCGGAGCTGTGGAGCTGTGCCGCTGACCCTGCACGATGGCTGACTTCGTGCTCCGACTGGACGCCGAGGGCCATGCGGTTGACTTTGTCGCCTGGCTCTCCGATCTCCGCCGCCACCTTACAGGTCAGCGCTAGGATGGCCACTCTTTGGTTGTCCATGTCGATGGCTTGCTCCCCCGCCCCCCCGCACCTTCTCCCCTCCCTGCTGACCCCCACTCTGATGACCGTGAGACCTTCTCTACTACTGCGCTTGCATGTGCGCTCTGGAAATGTCGCGGTGCAGTCGCTCAGGTTGCTCTTAGCCACGCCCTCCCTGTGTCTGAGCGCTCGCGTTTTGCTACTGTTGAGACGGCCAAAGCTTACTTAGACGCCATTATTGCTCGCTATTCCACACCCGCGTCTGCTTCTGCTGGCCGCTTGCTCTTCCCGATGCTGTTCCCAGACCTTGCAGCCTTCCCTCTCCCCCGGTCGCCCCTCCTCCTCCCCCGCCTCGTCCTGCCCTGTCTGGTGTCTCTAACGTCACTCCTCTCCCGTCGGTTGTCCCCGTTGAGGAGTTTGCTGACTCTGGTGGTACCCCAGCCCCGTCCTTGCCGAGTCCCCCTTCCCCGGTGTCTCCGCCTCCCCTGTCGCAGTCGCTGCCTCCGCCGCCGCTGTCGCCGCCGCCGCCGCTGCCGCCGCCGCTCTTGGCCTCTAGGGGTGCTGGCGTTGAGGAGGGTGTTCGTCCTGCGGCTCCTAGCGTGACCTTGGGACCTTGGGCCTCTCGGTGGATAGCTGCCATGGAGCAGGAGATGGCATCTTGGAGGTCCACCGGCACTTACGTCGACGCAGTTCCCCCGCCTGGGGTGAACGTAGTCGATGGTCGATGGCTCTTCAAGGTGAAGCGCCCCCCTGGAGAGCCGCCTGTCTTCAAGGCGCGCTACGTGGCCAGAGGCTTCAGTCATCGCGAGGGGGTTAACTTCTTTCAGACCTTCGCCCCGACCCCGAAGATGACCACTCTTCGGGCGCTGCTAGACGTAGCAGCACAGCGCGACTACGAGCTTCACTCCCTCGACTTCTCTACTGCCTTTCTTCAGGGCAGCCTATACGAGCAGGTCTACCTGCGCCGACCACAGGGCTTCACTAGTACCTTCCCCCCTAGGACCCAGTGGCTTCTCAGGCGCCCGGTCTACGGTTTGCGTCAGGCTCCTCGCGAGTGGCACGACACGCTGCGTGCCACGTTAGCAGACCTGCAGTTCTTTCCGTCGTCTGCTGACCCGTCGCTGTTTGTGCGTTCAGGCCAGACTCCGTTCTACATCCTTGTCTACGTAGACGACCTGGTCTTTGCTACTGCTGACAGGGACGCACTGGCCTCGGTGAAGGCCGAGCTGCTGAAGAGACACACCTGCACTGACCTTGGAGAGCTGCGTCACTACCTTGGCCTGCAGATCTCTAGGGACAGAGCAGCGCGCACCATCACTCTGACACAGTCACACCTGGTGCGTCAGGTCCTTCAGAGGTTCGGTCTTCAGTTCTCCTCCGCACAGCCCACACCTCTACCAGTAGACCATGGGCTCTCCGCTCCCGTTCCTGAGGAGCCAGTAGAGCCCAGTGGCCCCTACGCGGAGCTGGTGGGTTGCCTCATGTACGTGATGACTTTCACTCGCCCAGATCTCGCATACCCTCTCAGCATCCTGGCTCGCTTTGTGGCCACTGGCAGCACCGACCACAGCACTGGTCGGCCGCTAAGAGGGTTTTGCGATATCTAGCAAGTACATCGGGCATGCGGTTAGTGCTAGGAGGACGCAGGCCGGTGGTCCTCACTGGGCACACAGACGCTTTTTGGGCAGAAGACTCTGAGACTCTCAGGTCGTCTCAGGGCTACTGTTTCAGCCTTGGTTCGGGTGCTATCTCTTGGAGATCCACTCGCTCGTCGTCTGTTGCTCAGTCCAGCTGTGAGGCTGAGATCTACGTTGGTGCCATGGCAGCACAGGAGCTCCGCTGGCTGACCTTCTTGCTCACTGACCTAGGTGAGCGGCCTAGCTCTGCCCCAGTCCTGTACGCTGATAACACGGCCATGATTCTCCTGTGTCAGGAGCCTCGACTTGAGGGCAGAGCGAAGCATATCCAGCTGCGGTACTTCCTCCTGCGCGAGCTACAGCAGCGTCGCCAGGCCCGCGTAGTTCACTTGGCCTCCGGTGCCAACACAGCTGATATCTTTACTAAGGCGCTTGCGCCTAGAGATCATCAGCGGCACTGTGTACAGCTTGGTCTTGTTCCTGTAGCTTCTCACTTGTTAGGACCCTGATTGTGTACTCTCTACTATATATACGTGTCAGACTGGTCTTGTGGCCTCACCTCCAGTGGTCGGACTAGAAGTGCCGCCCTGGCTTGCTTTAGTCTTGTTTGTACTCTTGGTGACTGGTCTCCGGACCCCTGCCTCAGTGGTTGGACCAGTAGTGCCACCCTGAGCTGTTTGCTTCTTGTTTAGCTTCACCCCTTGTCTAGCCTATGGGGTGTGTCTATCAAAATTGGAATTGAATAGTTTGGTAAAGTGAGAGTACACACAAATATACCTAAGTGTTGTACCCTCTAAGAGGTAACCCTATACAGTCTATACAAACATGACAAATACAGATGTTTGACACACCCCCTAGACTGCATAGGGGAATACCCTAAACAAGCAGCTCAGGGCGGCACTACTAGTCCAACCTCTGAGACAAGGGTCTGAGAGACCAGTCAGAAGGAGTACAGACAAGGCAAGA